AAAAGTACCATGACTAAACAGTGAAGTTCACTCATTCAGCAGTAGAACTAATTCCAGATTACCCGTGAGTTTGCGGTCCGTAATTAAATTCTCTGGGCCCAGTCATTCGAAGATTGATAAGTGCAAACCCAAGTTTAAATTTTAATCTGGATTTTCTTTATTCCTTTATTCAAATGCCTTTTTAGGATAGTTTGCCGTGTTCTTTTTAGAGCATCAAATAATCATATTCTAGACAAAAAAAGTCGACTGAATTTTCTTTTACAGCTATCAGATCTGAATCAGATTTCACATTAACCTTGGATTATCTTAACCTAGCTTTGAACAACCCAGCCCAGATGTTTGACGGGTTCTCACATGACAATATTGTCAAAATCAAATTACCGCGTCAGACTTAATGTAAACATGGACATCACTGACTCAATCTCATTTTATTTCAATTTTGGGAAGGGCTACCACTTCGCTCTTAGGCTAAAACAACACTTCTTCGACAAAGCGCGATTTTTTTTGATGAACAGAGTAAATCCTGCGATAGTTGACTGAAGAGAGAAAGAGGTAGAAACTTGCGCTCGCCGTTCGCTATCATTTGAAAGCTTTCTAGATAAGATAACTTCTTTTCCATTAACACCACGACTATATAGAACATTCCAAACGACAGGACAAGAAACACCTTGAAGAACACTTTGAAATGTTATTTCGGGCTATGAACCGGCGTGAGGGTTTTTAGGCGATGAAGGCCAAAGTCATTGTTTTACCGAAACTTGATTTTAATTATAAACTGAAGCTAGTATCAAACGACGATTGTTAAAAAATGTTTGAATTTTTCTGGGCCTTAGCGTTAGAGAAAACCCAGATATGACACGACTTACCTCCTCGTCTTTCTCGGGTCCTTTGTAGTTCTCTCTTTGTTGATGATCTCTTCTCAGTCTGTTTTCAGGAGCGTCTTTGTATTTCCTTCTCGCGTTGCTCTTCGCTAGATATTTGCCTTTTTAGTTATGTCTTTTCTTGTTCTCTTTCGCGTCTCTTTCACCGTATTCTGCCTATTTTGGTGTCCTCTCTAACTTTCTTGCGCGTTTTTCTGGACTCACTTTACGTTTTTTACTTCTTTTTTTTTTTTGGTCGCTCAGTCTCTTTCTTTTCATCCTACTTTCACTCAAAACCCCCTCTTCACAAACTTGAATCATAACAATTTCCTCCCGTTGACAAAGGTTTAGCTCTGCCGGTATTCTTGTTTTGCGAGTTGATTAGGAATTGCAAATTTCGGAGAATTACTGTTCAACTTCAACCTCACCAGTTTGATTTCGCGCTCAAAACGCGGGTTACAAATTATTTGCTGACGCGGCTTCACATCCACTAGCCCACGTGAAGCCCTCGTGCAATGCCTAGCCGTGTGTGCGCGGTACGCTACATTGAAGCTCGACATTGGAGTATGCGCACTTCATTGTCATCTGCCAGTGTTTTCTGGCGCACACTAGAGGGGTATCCAAGTTATGCGTGCAATCGCGCCTGCGCATTACCTTCTCCCTCGCCCTTCCACTACGTAATGGCTCAGACAGTGCCCATGGTACAGTTGGCCGCGCATGCTAAAAGTAGCACCTTGTACGGTCAGTCGTACGGTCGCACGTCCAAATTTTTTCGGTTTAATAGGTTACTACTATTTCGTATAATTATGGGGCTACGTTGCGCGTTCTTCGTGCGCTGCGAGCTCTGCTACAAAAAAAGCAATAGAGTTAATGTTAGCGGGTATGAATTATCTCTGGACGCGACACAGAGTAATTTCAGCCCGAACCGCTAGGCGAGAGTTAAAAGGATATTTTTGCCGAATGGCTCAACACTGTGTTACCACTATCATTGCAATTGTGATCACTCAGAGGGCATTGAGAAAAAAAAGAAAAAAACTGGAAAGTGACAACAAAAGTGACAATAATACAGGGTGAACAATCACGTAAACAAGCGAACGATGTGCAATACATTCTTGCCCGCTAAAAAAATTAGTAAAAAAAAATGCGTCATAATGCCCGGCGGTTGTGCCCATAAAAGACGTAAAAGATGCGTAAGGCAAAACACTCGCAACAGAAATTGCTACCAGGCTAAAAAGACGGCGGTAGGAGGTCTTATAGACGGTGGGAGAACTTCGGTAACCGGCGTTTATTGAACTCGGCGCATATGTCAAAACGTTTGTTAATATGTTACGTTGTACTTTGGTTAAAGAGACTTTAGTCTGTTCTGAATTCGATTCTTTTTGAAAACAATAAGCTATTATATAAGTTAACCTGTTTTGAATAGAAATCAACGCAATAGGAATTCCTAACTGTTCCTTTCAACAACATGCTCAAGTGGATTGTCTATTAACTCTTTTGATCATCCGCTCGATTTTTTTCTTGCTCATACGTTCAATTTCAAACCATTGCACACTTTTTAATGAACTGTCTGTGTTCGGGTAAGCTCTCTGTATCTTCGTGCTGCGTGATTTGTCTGCCTCATTTAGTTTATTACACACTGCACGCTTTGAAGACATTTCAGCTATTAATTGTGGAAATTCTTTTAACAAACTCTGTAATTGATATTAACCACTTGTCTAACGCATGCCGTAAAAGCTGTAGTAACGTCAGCTTAACGGCTCGTTGATGATGTTTAACAGTGGAGTGAATGACCAAAATCGATACCATGGCTAGTGCTAAAATGTCTGCTAAAATAAGAAGCTGATTATTGAGATAAAACGATTAGAACGAAACATTTGAGGCCCAAACTATCTACAACATTTGGTTGCGTGAAAATTGCGCTTCGAATGTACAAACCACGATACATAATTTTGGTCAAAGGAATGTTTATAATGTGCCTAAGTTGTGATAATAGCGGACGCATTTCTCCCATACTTAATGGGAAAAAATGAACGTAGATAAATGATGCGCTGACATACATCAATTGCTGGTCGCAAAATTTTCACAGATACCTCCTAGATCAGTAAATTAAAGCAAATATGTCCTTAAACACCTTCAGGCGTCTTCACCATTGCCTTACAATAAATAACTATAGTTTCCACCACGCACAAAATCCAGTCAAAGCGAACACAAAAGATGTCAAAAAATACTTCATGCCATTGAGGTAACTGCGAAAACTTAAAATGGCTTAAAACTGGTTCTTCATAAAGCATGCGTTCGGCGGCATGCTTTTCTAAAGGATGCCACACCACTGTTTACGTTTGTGAACGTTATGTTACTCGAAAATGCTAATCGTATCTGATGGCTTGGCCAATAAACCTGCGCTAATCGTTTTTTCATTTAACAGCTTCGCGAACGTCACTAACAGATAGGTTTAAGCGTAACACCAAACGTCTTTATTTATAACTTTAATGGAAAAGATCTCTAATAAGATAAGACGGCTATCGGATGCTTGACATTAATGGCTGATGAAAGGTAAAGTGCCAAAGTGGGTTTACCTTTGCACCGTCACATTTACCCACGACAAGCAAAGATTGGTCTCGTCCTCCTTCCCCTGCCTTTAAAGTGATGTGATGAGATCGAGCTAGCAGTGTCGCTACAGGGCAAGTTAAATTAGAGAAACGTGGGGGTTTGTTATAGAAATTGTTGATCCTAGCTCCATTAGGCGACTCTACTGGTGAATTAGTTAATATCCCTTGGTAGGATAGCGGCCATTTTACAAGCAACAGTAAAGATACATAATAATTATGAAATGAGTACATGTGTCTACTGTGGATGTTATTTGCAACGTAGGTAATAAAAACGTTGATAGCGTGATAAAAGTGTTTCTCAACCATTGACTCCCTGGGCTACGCCGCTGAAATCATTCTCATTTCACTAAATGAAAAAGATTATTCATGTTATCAAGGGTACAGTTGTTTAGAAATTACGTGAGGGCAAATGAAAATTTTTGAAATTAGTATGAGACAGTTGATCTTGCGTATAAACTTTTGAGGAAATTATAATTACAGAAATCTCAAAAATATTAAATTTTGTTCAAACAATGGCGGTTTTTAATTATCGGCAATCGACTGGGGTTAGCTCGCGAAAGCACTTACACATTTGCGGGCTTGCACGATAAGGGCGGCTCCGAAAAACTTCGGAACGCAATCTCTTTTTTTCGGCTTCCGAAAGGCACGAACAGGCCGAATGGTGAAAACAACGCTTCGAAAAATCGACCGCCACAAATCACTCAGATTAGGACAGAAGACGCATCCCGTGTTATCTTATGCTAACGATGGCTTCGCATGTGGACATCTCAATTCGTGTTCCGCTGAACTCTTCGACTGTGGCTCCCTCATCTCGAAAGTCTCCAGCCATTATGCTTCCGCACAGACGTCCCCTCGAAACAGTCTACACTCAACCGGTTTCCTTTTCTATATCCTGAATTTTGGGATTTGAAGGCAACTCCTTTCAGCCTTCGTCATATTCGCTGCTTCCTGGTAAGTTGAGTTCCTTATATGTTAAGGTGAAGTCTATTTTTTAACGATTAAGCAAAGTGACCCAAAGTTCAAGGCCGTAGCTGATTGTATTTTCAGTCATTTAAGTGTCATAGGGAAATGTTTGACAGTTAAGAATTACTCTCTATACCCTCTAAAGTAGTTTCCCTTAGAGTAACACAAAAGAATACCATCTCCCTGTAATACATGACCTTAAGAGCTAATTTACTTGGAAAGTGTAGAACACAAAGACGATAAGTTTTGCAAGTTAATTTGGTTTATCGGATTAAACTTGTGCAAGTTGTGTTGTTGGAATCAAATATCTGAATGATAACCTCCTTGCCTTGCTTCAAAAATGCTTATAGTTCGTTTATGAAATGCTAGATATTTAGCCATGAGTCAATATTTTACCTTGTGTCCTGTTTCAGCTTATGATAACTTAACCAACGAGAGCAGTAAAAGAAGCTTCAAAGAGGACAACCGACAAACCTACGAACACTCGCCGAGTATTGACACCGACAAACTGGCCACTTCCTTAGATAGCGAAACAAGACATTCCAGTCCATCCACTGCGCGGCCAAAGATGAAAAGGAAACAACGAACAATGTTTTCACCTCTGGAAGTCTGGGAACTGGAGAGAGTGTTTGCACAGAGACGATATTTAATGCCGGAAGACGAAGACGAATTGGTACAAAAACTTGGAGTCACTGCAAGGAACGTACGGGTAAGATTTATTTACTTAAGTTTTTGGATACGGTATTAAAGGCTTTTGCTTTATGCCGTTTAATCTCTTTGCCGAAAAGATTTAGTAACATTTATTTATGTACGTATACGGCTGTTTCGGAGAAGGTTGTCAAGAAAAAAAGCATAAAAGTACAGACAAAAACCCCGAAAGGCATTGAGGGCAGTTCTTAGGTCACAGTTGCTTGAGCTCTGGGTTTCAGGAAATCTCAGATAACGTCACTGTAAGGACAAGGCTTTGCCGGTTTGACGAGTTTAATTATTTATTTCGGTTATTCAAATTCATTGAATACCAGATACCCAGATAACTTTTCGAGATTGTGACATGTACTTCCGTCTTTTTTTTTTTCGACAGCCTCTCTCGAAACAGTTGTATGTCTATAAATATCTTGCCGAAGCACTTGGTTCCTTTTTATCGTTTTTGCACATTATTCAACTTACATTAACGAAAACCAATAAGAAGCCTTCCCTCCAGCCGCATGACACAAGTTGTTAACGATTATTTACCTTAATATTTTCAGTTCTAGTTCCAAAATCGTCAGGCCAAGTTACGGAAACAAGCAAAAGCCTCAGTTGATGTCCATCGAACCAGCCCATGAACTCACATAAACATGCGGCTTGCTCATGCTGTAATATGAAGTCAGCGGCCAAACAGAAGGAACATACATGAAAAACCAGTTGAGACAGTTTGAAGAATCCTTAGCAGTCGCAAAGAGGATACCCAAAGAAGGGCAACTTCACAAACTGTCTCGTGGTGACCAGCAACCAGCAGGCAAGCCAATAGAAATTCAACACTGCTGCGAAGGAGAATAGCGTGAGAAATCATCAGGAAACTGGGAGACGAATTTTGCAACTTTTTTCCTCAAACAGAGAGAAAAATTAAAATTTTCAATAATTTTTGGGCAACGAAAATAGGATATTCTAATAATCCTAAAATCCTCTATTTGATTCGTATTTGAATTTTACGATTTCAAAATGTATGCAATGGTCAAGTAATAATTTATTGGACTTTTGTTGTGCAATTTTGGTCTGGAATCGAACCTGTGATTTTGCGATCCTTGCAATCTTTTCTCAGCCAATGAGAAACCTTTCCTACAACCCAGTAACCAATCAGATTTCTAGGCACGTTTAAAAAAAAAGAACAAATAATATGAAAGGAAAAGAAAAGACCACTATGGCGACTCTTTACAAACCAGCTCAATACTGAATTAATGACCTATTTTTACGGAACAAAAAGTCCTGTGTTTTGAGATTTCAAAATAGATAAACTGAATTGGTAATTGAACCGGCTTTTTGTCGAGCCTTTTTGGTCCGAAATTGTACTTGTGATTTCAAATCTTATCACATGCGGAGCAAAATAACTGAATGCTGATTGGCTGAGACAGAGGGCATTTTTTTTCTAAATCACGAGGGCTCTTTTGGTAATTAAGACGGCACGACTACTTGATGCTTACAAAGCCCTTTTGCTGTTTGCGGAAAAAATGTATCGATTGCAATTTAACGGAGTGAAGTTTTATAACGTTGTTGCTTGTATTTTGAGAATAAAATGTCCCTTGAGTCTATCGGTCAGTTACGTTTGTTTCGACATTAAAAGAGCTTCGACATTGAAAGAGCCAAATAATGGCGCACAGACATATCCCGATTAGAATGTGCATTAAAGATAACCTTTCCAACTTACTTCACAACAGAATCCGATAAGAGTAAAAGTGCTGATTTCTGAGCAAAAAGTAAATGTATAGGTAACTTCCTCGGTAAAATTTCATATCGGAAGCTAATAGTGATCCGTTGTTTGACATATTTGCGGTATGAGGAAACGACTCTCCACCCGTAATTTGTTCAAATAAGGCATGGTGAGGTATTTTCTCTTGATTCTAATTGTTACTACCAAAAATTGAATTCATAATCCTGGAATGTATGGCCTTTTACGAAATGCGCCTTTGTTTTGCAAAGCGGGTGCTTCCGAAGCCTTTGATAAAATAATGTTTTTTTCCAGTTTAACTTGTGCTTAAGAAAATGATAGATTTTTTTCTCAAAAGAGAGGCTTCTCACTTGGCTCCACTTCAAAAGTTTGCCTTTCTGGACCTTGTATTTAGCTTATTAATCATTAATTTTAATTTACAGGTTTAACATGCTGTGAAACTTGAAAGGTAACTAGTGAACCTAAAAGATCAGCAAAAATATCAATAATATTACGAGCAGCGGCATCAACCCTGAATTCTTAGTGAAGTGAACAAAACCGTCAGAAGTGAACCAGGCACCAAACGAGGTACAAACCACACATGGAATACGAAAAGCTGGTAGCGGAACCGGAAGAAAGAACTTCAATCTGTGGCAGACTAACGTTTGGCTTTTTGTCGAGTATTATCGAAACAGGAAACAAACGACCTCTAGAGGAGAACGATATTCCTTCCCTAGATGTTGAAAGCACCAAGTATTTGACTGAAAAACTGGAATTAGAATGGAAAAACGAAGTTGAAATCGGTAGAGTCCGAAGTTCTAAACCTCGTTTGAGAAACGCAGTCCTAAGGGCCGTCGACAAATATTTACTGTCTCTGATTGTGCTACTAGCAATTTTAGAGACATTATGTAAGATGATTCAGCCTGTCCTACTAAGCTTTCTCCTGGCTGAGATGTCCTATAATTCTCCCGTCGATGTGGGGATACTGCTTGTTTATTCAACACCGCTCTGTGTAAGCTGTTTTATTCAAACGTTGGTTTCCCAGCAATGTGGTTATGCCATGTTTCTAATGGCAGTTCACGTTAAAGCCTCCTTGATTGGGATAGTTTACAAGAAGGTAGGTGGATGATGAGTTTTTGCCGCTTAAATGTCAAAATAAGTTAAGCTTAACCAGCAAAGAAACTGTGAATAGATGTCGCATCTGTCATCTGATAAGCGAATATGTATTAGGCTAAAACCTTAAATTCTATCCATTTTACAATCAACAGCTAATTTCTTTCTGTTACCATAACAAGAGTGATTGTTACTGTTAACCTTTTTTGCAAATTTTATTTCTCACCGCCAAATTTTTGGCCGTTCTATGGCTAACGTTAAACCCATGGAAACCCTTGTTACTGATTGTGGAAGGTGTGTGTGTGATACGCTAAGAATTGTTCAGTATGCCTAGGCTTCTTGTATACGCCGGTGGTTAGACATCAGCCAAATTCTCTTGAGACTGCAGTGTAGAGGGAGGCCAGATTTGTGGAACCATGCAGATAAAGTTATTACTTGCTCTTAAAACTCTCCATATTTAGGTTGGCAATAACAGAAGAAACCGCACTGTAGTCGCAATGTAGCAAACCACACCGAAAACGATAACAATATGACTCCTGTCACAAAATGTCATGATTATCATTAATTTTATCTTGTTGTAACTGAACAACTTTTATCCACATTTCTTTTTTGCGGGTGTGATGATACACAAAATTCAAAGTTGAACCTCAACTCATCATTAATTATCTTGTGCCTTTTCCTTTTATTGCAGATTCTGAACACGCGTCATCATATTCTTGCTGAAAGAACTTCAGGGTATTTGATAAACTTGATCTCTAAGGACATGGTCCCGATTTTTCACGTTTTCGCTAACCTTAAATCACTTTCTGCTCCTCTGGAGATAATTCTCGTTTTCTCTCTTTTGTGGTACTTTGTCGGCTGGCAAACATTTGGAGGTGTGATCTTTTCAATAACTCTCATCTTCTGTCAAGCGAATTTGGGAAACGTTTTCAAAAGTCTTCAGGACACGGCCGCCAGGATGACGGACAAGAGACTGCGTCTGATACATGACGTCATTTCCGGTATACGTGTACTAAAAATGAATGCTTGGGAATGGTGCTTTCATGATTTGGTTTCCGAAGTTAGGAGGTATGAGTTTTCTTCTAAAAATTAAGCAGTTCATGGTTTATTTATGCTGATAACACCTTGTTTGATAGGGAAAGAAAATTATAATCACTCGTCATTAGAGCTAGAAAAACAGCCTTAGATATAAACACTGTAAATTCATTTCGCATCTTTATATTCTCAAGTTTGCTAACCATGACATGAAAGTTTTGCGGTATTAGTTTTTGCTGCGTTCAGGTACAGTCCTTCATTCACAAAATTTAAGCCCCAAAAATTAATGAAAAATTCAGTCATCAAAACGTGGCAGTCCAGTATATACAATTTACTTGCAACTTAAGTGCCAGTTCGTATTTTTTCTTTAAGATTCACTCAATGTATCCATTAACAATTCTAACTAATTAACTCGGCAAGGTGGATGACTTTAAATACTGTGCCACTAACCTTGTTAAAAAACAATTGTCCTTAACCTTTTTCTTGGTTGTTTCCCAAGATTTTCCTCTCCGTCAATTGTTCATTTTTTGTACGCTACTTTAGCCTCAGGTATCATTCTCCGATGTTAACACTCTTTAAAGAACTCCCTGAGCCTTTAAGGAATCGTAGAAACTTGACTTTGAAGCAAAACATTAATTACAGAATTTGAAAGTAATGTTATGAGCGAGATTTCCCATTGTAGGTCTTTCAATAATTAGGCTAACATAAAAGAAATATGAGACAAACTAGCTTAGCAGGCTGTCACTGGGAAGTACTTGCCTCTCGTTTAGTAAATCTATCTAAATACACCATCAGTCTAGCACTATTTCAATCAAATTCATAAGTTCCAGAAATCTGTACCTTCCGATATATGCCTCTGGAATGGAATGGCGCACTATACGGGTAGAGAACCCGTATAGTGCGCATTCCCTCATAAAAGGCAAAGCCACGTACTAACTCCAACTTGGGAATAACTACTTGACTTGCCTGTGAATGTTCTAACCATTATCATCATATTATGTTCCACTCAGATTAGAGCTCAACATTGTGTACAAGAAAGGAGTTATTTTAGCTGGTTACCTCTCGGCATATTCCTGTTACCCAATGGTGTCCAGTTTTGCCGCTTTGTTTCCGTTTCTCATGACCGGGAATCACCTTACAGCTCAAAATGTCTTCACTACTCTGGCTTTGCTGGGTGCACTCCAAAAACCAGTCACTGTTCTGTTTTCATACGAGTTCCGCGCTCTTTTCCAAACATTTACAACACTTGAACGAGTAGAGTCGTTTCTTCTTGACGATAATTGTGATGTACCGGTATCTTCCACTCAAAAATGGAATCCATCACAATCAAAGGACCCAACTGGCATAAGCGAAACACAATTAAACGAAAATCAGTTTTTAGCAGTGGAACCAACTTTTCTGACGAATCATGTTTGTAATAAAGGCGAGCCGTTCCTTTGTTTAAACAGAGTTAAAACCCGTCCAAGGGATGACTCTTTCAATTTATGTCTATGTATTTCCGACCGTAAGTTGATCGGAATCACAGGCCCGGTGGGTTGCGGAAAATCGACTCTTTTTGACTTAATCCTTGGCGAAATACCATCAGCTTATGGTCAAATTACTCGTCAGGGACAAATTGCTTACGTTTGCCAAACACCGTGGGTGTTTTCGGGAACAATCCGTGAAAATATCATTTTTGGAAAGGAGTTCAACCAAGATACTTTTGAAAAAGCTATCGAGGCTTGTTCGCTGAACGAAGATCTGAAGTCTCTTTCCTGTGGTGATCTGACTTATGTCGGGGAACGCGGGGTAAGTTTGAGTGGCGGTCAGCGTGCACGGCTAAACTTGGCACGCGCAGTGTATTCTGATGCCGACATTTATCTTCTGGATGATCCGCTTAGCTCTGTTGACGCGAAAATATCGAATGAAATTTTTCAGAGGTGTATCTGTGGCACTTTGTCCGATCGGATCCGACTGTTAATTACCCATCAAGCTCGTTTCCTTGGAAAGACAGATCTGGTTCTTTTGATGGACAAGGAAAGCAAGATGACTAAAAGCATTGGTAAAGAGCTTAGAGAATTGGAAGAATTCTTTGAAATTTCTGCAGCATCCTTTGATAAAGCAAACGAAAGAGGCCTTTTTAGTAATCTGGTGCCATATGGAGCCCCGATGACAAAGACTGGTAACTCCTCTCGTTTGGAAATCGAGGAAGAAGATCGCCTAACTGGTTCCGTTTCCTATAAAACTTACTGGACGTACCTTGCATACGGAGTGTCAAACTTCTTCATAATGATCTGGGGAGCTTTAGTAGTATTACCTGAAGGTTAGTGAAATATAATCATTGCAGAAAACACTTAGCACATTTACGTATGAGACCTTATCTAGAAAGCAAATCGCGCCATCTAAGCAATCTAACCAGGAAGGATGCGGGTTTAGGGAAAATTCAAGACAATTATGCAGACCGAAGAGGCAGGAAAGCGTTTGGACAACTTTTGAAAACTAGATGGAGCTAAGACCCATGAAAAACGCAGAAAACTGATTCGAGAGACCCTTGCCCAACGCAGGTAGCTCAACCTTGCACAATCAGCCTCCACAAATATGCAACTTGCTTTTGCGCAGTGGTAAAAATACAAGGATTTGTATGGGAGTAAACGGTCGCACTCTCAACCAAGAATTCTGAAGTAGTTTTGCATAAAAACAAACTTACCTTGCTTAAGTAGTTGTTCCTTTATGTCTTGTGAGATGTTTTAGCTTAGTTAGGGCCTTTTAATTAGCTCGGTTTTAGTGGTATTTCGCCCATTGCGCAATTTTTTTAATAACAGAGGGTCAATGTTCTACCTGTGTTTAACATTTTCTTAATCTGTTATCCTGAGATTTAAATTTCCTCACAGTGATAAATCCTAGTTCAAGTTTTTGATCCATGCTCCTGTTTGGCGTTTCCGTGTTTCTTCAGTTGATGTCGTCTACAATTTCACGCGTTATTGTGATGTATTCTAATCAATTCCATAAACAGATGGTCAACACTGAAGTCGCCTTAAAATTGTTTGTCCTATCCCTCAGTCCAAATTTTATTATTCTATGCACTTTTTATTGCCCTTGGAACTTTCGCTGAGGTGTAAACAATAACTTCAAAGAACTATCCACCAATTTTGGTCAATTTTTTTTAAATCATCATCAATCGATCAAGCTATTGAGCAACATTTAGAATACCTCATGGAAAGTGTGCACGTATGGTATTTACACCCGAGAAGGTGGTAACGGAAATCGAATGAGTGGTCGTAGTGAACGAGTGAAATTTCTGAAACATATGGTGATTTTGTTGACTGTTTGAATAGGTAGTCAGAAGAAGGTTCAGTTTGTTATGGTCTGCCCTGCTGTTGAATAACAATTATTTTTTGTGTGTTGAAGTGGTTTTAGGATGAATAAATAATACATGTAATTTTATTTACCCACCGAAAGAAACTCAAGGGCTCGAAACTGTCCATTTCCTTGTTGACAGGAGCTGTTTTAGCTTCCAGCTTTTGGCTTGCATATTGGACAAAGCAATCGTGGGAAGATCAACAGAAAGCTAAAAACGCTTATGTCTACATCGGTCTGGCTAGTAGCTGCTTCATCTTCGCTTTAACCCGCTCCTTTCTATCCTTCTACGGAATGATCAAGAGTTCTTCTCGCCTGCATGCCGCCATGCTGACTTCACTGTTGAGAGCTCCTGTTTCTTTCTTTGATGTGAATCCAGCTGGTCGTATCTTAAATCGCTTTGCTAAAGACGTTGGGTGCATGGATGAAGTATTACCCTATGTCCTTTCAGAGTCTGTTCAATACGCCATGTTCACCATTAGTATTTTGGTTTTGATATCTGTTGCTAACGTGTGGATCATTGGAGCAAGTGTGCCTTTCACAATTCTGTCGCTGTATGTTAGCAAACGCTATACAATCACAGCACGTGAGATCAAGAGAATTGAAGCCATCACGAACAGCCCAGTATGCTCACACGTAACAGACACAATTCAAGGCATCACGACAGTTCGTGTGTACAAAAGAGAGGCAGTATTCCTGGACCGTTTTTACAGGTAACTCAAAGCTAAATAGAAAGATCGTCATTTAATTAACTTAAAAGGTAGTGGGGGGGGGGGGGGGAGAGGGAGCGGCTGGTGCATGATGATACAGGGTTTTTTTTTAACTTTTTGACGGGAAACTTAGTTTCATTTTATAACAACAAAGGAAATGCTTGAATACGCTATTTCTACCACCTAAAGGCCGATTTGCAGTTGTCATCTGATCTTTAAAATCATTACTTTCTATTTTCAAAGCAAATTTTAATTTTTGAAGCAAACAAAAGTGTCGTCAGCATGTTCTATACTCTCATAGAACACACTAAAATAAGCCAATCAGAATCGTTTTGAGAAGAGTCCAAATAATCTGATTTGTTGAATAAGTTTAAAGCTGCCAAAAATGTCAAACCATCCTAGTTCGCAATCTGCAATAGTTCACAAACTGATGTAGTTCGGCAGGTCGAACTAAACACTTTTGCTTATAGTTTTTTAGCCTAAGTACAGAATCTGAAAATGAAATGTTCAGCGAAATCCGTGGAATCCATGAATCCATGGCTTCACTGCCATGACTGGGTATAGCTATGATGATGGACCGCAGCATGATCGCAGTCGTTCGGACACAGTCGTGATCTGTCCAAATTTTTAACAGTTTACAAATTTTTGCCAGGATGGTTATATTTCTCATCATTCCTTGTTTTTTTTTTTTTTTTTTTTTAATAGGAAACTTTACATACTATACGAGTGTTATCTGTGTTCGAGTTTCATCACTATACATACTTAAATGATGATTTAACTGAGCGTGAAAACTTCAAAACTCGGCCTGACAGTTTATTTCGTTTTCCGTCTCAGCTCACGTTATGATTTCGTAAGTTACGTCGCTTGGCATGTTTACAAACTTCTGTCTGGTGCCTATGTTGCCACTTGCCGGCTCGCTCGTTCCTAAATTTCACCTCCTATATCTGTGCAATTTGCAATGTTATTTAAAAGTTTTTCTATACCAATTGATGCCAAGAGCTTGGTTTTATGTTCGTGATACAGGTCATGAAGGACTTGTCGATCAATTAACAAAAAAAGCTAGCGAAGTCCGGGAGATGGTCAGGCATTTTACAAGTTGGCAGATGGCAGGACCCCTTTAGCTAGCTGAGCTCCCTGTTTCATACACTGATAAAACATGCTTTTTCAACCAATGAGAGCGCACGTTATATCTGAATTTTATCGTAATATGGCTTAAGCCACTTTATCTTTTCATATTATCGTTTTTCCATGATAACTATTTTTTTCTTTCAGTTATCAAGATGCAAACAACAGAGCTTTGTTCTGCTATACTGCTTCGCTCAAGTGGCTTGGTATTCGCCTCGATTCTCTAAGTTCAGTCCTAGTTACTGTTGTAACTTTAGCAGCCATTTTTCTTTCTGGTGATACAGGTAAATGACTTATTCTCTTTTCTAACATATGTCGTAGTCATTCTTCGCTTAGTGCCTATGACTCAAAGAGAAGTCTTCGAGGATCAATATTATACAGCGACGAGTGATAATAATAATAGTGAAATTGTCTTATACCTGAGAAATTCCTTTCAAGGTCTTTTTGATATAAAGACCCCAAAAATGGGCGAAGTATAATATTTTCTCGGATTCTTGCAGATCGGCGGTTGATATTTCTTCCGTTCCTCTTTCTCTATTTTCTATCGGTATGAAGTTTTTAATTTTAAGTGATATGAGAACTTCTTCTTTCTGTCAGTATTTTATCTTCGTTAGAGAATGATCATCCATCTCGGCCTCAAAGATCTTCACGAATCTATCGCTTGCCATCTGTCACTGACTGTTTTTCGAGAAATTGCTGATGAGCAGGAATGACATCATTAACATTATTACCGTGGGAGATACGGAGTCTTGGAATCAGTTTCTTATGGATTTAACGTGTGGTGTGTTTGCCAGTAATGAAATTTTATTGCATTTTCTCAGCTTTATCAGGCTTATCAATAAGCTACTGTCTGCAGCTCACCAACACAGTTCAGTGGATGCTGCAGGCCATCGGAGAGACGGAGAATTACATGACGTCCGTCGAACGAGTTTTGAGCTATACACAACTTCAGCCGGAGCCAGGCTACGATACAATTACCCCACACACTCGCAGGGATTGGCCTGAAAATGGTTGCATCACTTTTAAAGACGTGTCGTTGAGCTATTTCCCAGGGGGTCCTCCTGTCTTGAAAAATATCAGCTTTACTGCCGCCGCCGGTGAGAAAATAGGTATTGTTGGACGGACTGGCGCTGGAAAGTCGTCACTTATAGCTTGTTTGTTGCGCATGCCTGCAAACACCGAAGGCGAAGTCATAATCGATGGAATTTGTGTTGCTGATCTCAACGTCCAGGATGTTCGCACCGCGATTGCAGTCATTCCTCAGAGTCCTTTCCTGTTCAATGATGTGCTTCGTCGAAGTCTTGATCCAGCTGACAAATTTTCTGATGAAGAATTGTGGGACATTTTGGAGAAAGTTAAGCTGAAGTCGACTGTGGTTAATAGAGATGGACAACTTTACTGTCACGTGACAGAAAATGGAGCTAATTTCAGCGTTGGAGAGCGGCAGTTGATCTGCTTCGCTCGCGCTCTTTTGTTCGGTAAAAAAGTTATAGTGATGGACGAGGCAACATCCAGTGTGGATACAAAAACGGATGAACTCATACAAAGTATCATTCGTAAAGAGATGAATCATTGTACTGTTTTGACAATTGCACATCGTCTGAGCACTATATCTGATTATGACCGAATAATGGTGCTCAGCGAAGGGAAAATTATCGAAATGGATTCTCCTAAGGTTTTACTGAGCAACGAGCTCAGTTGTTTTTACCAGCTATATCACAGTATGAAGTCCTAAAGTTTTCTCAAAGTTGGCTCTAAAGTACGATCATGCCGTGTAAGATTTCCGCTTAAAAGAAAGGTCAGAAAGCGTAAAGATGTAAACTAGTAGTTACATAATGTAATTACTGTAATTAATGTAATGTAATTACGTAATGTAATTAGTAGTTACATACTGTTAAACTGATTTTGTATACCAATCGAAATTCTCTACATTTTGTTCGTGGTAAGGTACTTTTTATTATTCTCAGATCGATAAAGTTTGTTGATCGTCATTTGGATGTAGATAATTACCAAAAAAAATCAAAGACTTTGTGTTTTGGTCATTTTGAGTTAAAAACCAAAGTAGGCAGAATAGGAAGTTTTTTTTTTCAGGTCAGATTGTTAAACAGCTTGGTCTCAGTTGCCATGGTGGTAATAATTATTTCAGTGTTCAATGTAATACTCTCGTATTTTTTCGCAGTTTCTTTTGTTTGTTTTGTTCAGTTTGTCAACAGTCAATCCCTAAAACCAAACTAAATAATATAGCTGCTCAAAATGGTCTCTGCAACAAAACAATAAATCCACATGCTTAACACGTCATATATATTTTATTCACCAGCCGGGAGGTGCGTATAGGTGGTGCAGGTTCTAGAAAGGTGTGCTGCAGTTGAAACAATTGCTCAAACTAAGCCTGCAAAAAAAATCTCATGAAGTTTATACGGTGAGACCAAAAGTCCAAGCGTCTTCAGGGTGCAAAATTATAGTTTAGCTTTATTTTTCTAACAAGCAAACAACTTCAACTTTATTCAACATTATTAAGCCCTTAATATAGTCATTCACAATAAAAACTGGATTACGGGATCTTTACGAACAAGAAATTTATTAGGCTATTAAAAAAGGAAGAGTGTTATTAGATTTCCGAAGACAAAGGCTTAAATGGCACAGGTCAACGAAGCCAGAATGTGTAGTTGGATTAACGCTGAGTTTAACAAAGGTAGAAGATCGATCAGTTTCTTTTAAGAATTTAATAGATTTTGTAGCCAGATGTCTGGAAAGCGCCCTCACACTTGGGACGAGAGATATGCATATTCACTTAGCTTCAGATCCAATCGAGGATTTCCTGGCTCGTTTCGCTAAACTTTCTCTGTATAAGGACACGATAGCAATCGACACAAGAGAGATGATTGATAATCAGGATATATGTTGTCATAGAAAGAGCGATTTCGACAACTATTATCACACAGTGGATGAGGTAAAATGGCAATATGGAAAAATTATGTAACTTGTATCCCAAAGAATTGTAGTCTTATTCAACAACAAAAAGCCTAAAAACAAAAAACCAAAAACAAGAAAGTAATTAGTTAAGGAGAAATGGCATGAAATGGCAACTCTATACCCTATATCGGGAGAGTGGGGCCAATAGTTGTAAAAGTAATACTTTGATTCTTCATCTGTCCACAAATCCATTTACTTTTTTTCTCAGCGGGTATGGTGACGCATCCTGCAATCTGATTGGCTCTTAGTCCGGTCCGGATCTTCTTATCTCTGCCCACGGGTAACGGTAACGTTTTCGTAAGTTGTCTAGTGCATCCCTTCCTCCGTTGCCATTTTTCATAAATATATCCTTCATAATAAGTAACTAAAATAGCTGAAAGCGAGGAGTTTGTTTACGCATATCAAACTCTTCCCCAGTGTGACGAATATTTGTTTTTCTTGGTTCCAGGTGTACGCAACCACTAACCCCACGTAATGCGCATACTCTCCGTTACGAATTTTCAAAATAGCGGACAGGCCAAAGAGGGAAATAAAAAAAACAAAGCGATTTTGCAATGAATACTCAACATACACCCTCGTTAGAAAGGCGAATCCACGGAAGAAAGATACAAAACTGTATGATATTGAGATCGATATGATATTAAATCGATACCGAGGGCCCGTTTCCAACTTGCTAAGAAGTGCATTTAGTTACCTTCCGCCACGATTACTAGCTTTCTTGACAGCTTTCTGAAGACAGAATACTTTCTTTCTGAAGACTTCTGATATGCCGCTATTGATTATTACACCTCGTATATCTGATTGCTCAAACACTTTGTTTACGATTGTTGAAAGGAACGACTCATGGTTCTCCGTCTTCGTCTTTACATTGCTTTGAAATAGTATAGATTAGTAAGCTGAAACGAAAAATTAATAAGGGAAGTTTACGAAAAATCCAGCAAACAGACTTAAAAAAGGCATTTATTTAGACTTCATAATTCAACGAACTTCACAAATCTTACTTGTTTATCTTGTAAATAAACGATGGCAGATTAATTCCCGAAGCGCTTTCTGAGTTTCCCGATCCCTCTCCTACTGCTTTCACGCTTACAAAACAAGAAAAAAATCAAAAGGAGGAATATACAGCTGTTTTGAAACGCCATTTGACTAGGGTAAATCTGCTTTTTGTTCGACACTTTACATATCAAAACAAAGGAAATTTGTTCCTCTTTTTGATTACAAAAACATTTTCAATTTGCGCCTGCGTAAAAGAGATATCGCCCGAGACCCTTCGCTCGGTCGTGTTTTGATCAAAAACGCCTTGTTAATTTCACGCAACCGCTCGAAGAAAAGGTAAAAATGACGAGGGAAAAACTTTACCTTCAAGTTAGAAAATTAGTGAAATATTAAGCCACAATATTATAGTTTAATACTTCAGAGGTACATTGAGTGCTTTTTCCGTAGAGAATCCGCACGATGGTAAAACATTCGAAAATTACACTCGATTTGAGTGGGGTGTTGAAGTGGCCGTGGTCACCACATTCATGTTAAGACTATTTGTACCCCATGAGTTTGATATGTTGAATTAATGAATGTAATTTCATTCATTAATATCTGAATTCTCTTAAACAAATTTTTCGCTGTAAAACGGTGAGCCAAGTTTTCAGTCGTATTTCAAATACGTTCTTAGTAAGTCTTTCAACTTAGCAATTGGTACCGTAAATTGCACAGCAAAAACCGAAGGAATTCAACAAAAAAAACCGCTTTAAATTTCCTTGGGTCTAGTGAAAGTGAGTTTTTCGCTGGGAGAAAAATGTAATTTCTGACGTTTGAGTGACACGGCAACGAATTAGTCAGAAATTAATATTCTGATGGCAGGTCAAAGAAATTCGCGTAACATCATGGAAATTTCGGATTGATTAAGCGTTTCACGGGAAAATGAAGTCATTCTAGGTCGGTCTGTCTTATGTTTGACCATTTTCTTCTACAGAAATGTGCGGATATTTTAAGTAGTGCATGGCCGCGAAATGTACCACAGGATCTACAAACACAGCAAAATACTTGCAAGTCTTTCCGGACTGGAGAGACCAAAACAGAATTATTCCTTACAATATCAAGAGATTTTCAAGGAGACAGCTACTGAGAAGAAAGAGAGGCATCAAGGAGAGGATAATGTTTGATTTTGTATAAAATTGTTACAAGTGAAATTTTGAGAAATATAGTTTGGAGAACTGTTATCTAAATTATGGAAGCGGAGGAGGTGACTCTGTTACTAAGGGAGTGAAGTTCTCTTCTGTTCCTCAATTGAAAATTGCGCATATGCAAAAACATGTATATTGGAATTGAAATCATCTTGACTAGAACGAAGAAAACTTCGGAAACCCATAAAATGATTAAAATGACAATTTTTGGGATTGAGAGGTACTAAAATTGACAACGAAATGCGTTTTAAGGTTTACTAGCGGCCAGTCCCAAACGTTCAAATTTGGAAGGCAAAGCATCAACGAGAAACTGGAAGTAAGACCCAAGCTAGTAGAGCGAGCAACGCCGGAACCTTTTCAAAGTTATAGAACTTTTGAAATCCCTTTTGTAAAAAAAATTTCGTGGCGAAATGCAAATGAGTTCTAGGGAGGGTTCTGAACAAAATTATGAAAATAACAACGTCAGCCTAACTATCCAAAACAAAACAAATTTTAAAACTTTGTAAATGTTGCATCTGCTTTAAATCCTAGCCTTACCTGGGTCTTGATGTTAGTATAGTTTTCAAATATTTCAATTAATACAATGTGAGGTAAGTTTGGGGTCGGTAATAGAGACAATAACTTGTGTTATTAACAGAGAAAAATTATGTTAAATACCTTCGTTGGTTAGTTTATAACATATCGATCCCAAACTTCAATGCAAAGTTATCAACTTAAAGGTTCTCTTTCAAGCAAAGGCGAAGACTCCTTTCCAGCTGGGCGTTTTTCATTTTATAATTTGCTATTTTTTAAACAAATTATTCTGGCGAGAAAGCTCATACATGCAGAAAAAAATGGATGGAGAAATGGGGAGGGGGAGGGGGGAAACAATCCCTCATTGTAGTCTGCCTTGGGTTCCAAAACCCTCCCCCTCTATATACTACTCATGCCCGCTCCATGCACCTTCCGTACGAAAAAAGCAATTGCTTCCCACAGAACAATTTAATATTATCTATAAACCCCTACCAAAAAGCCACTAGACCTATTTGAAAACCTGGAATGATGTTTTTCTTAAACCCTTTCTTAAACGAAGAGTTTGGAAATGGCTTCTCGTTAATACCCCAGCCTTTATCAGCAAGTATCATGGCCTATTGGCGGTTTGAACATACCTCAGAATAGCTTGTTCTGTTCGGTTGTTCAACAGAGAGTATTCCTCACACACCCCCTCTACTTACCACACTGCATAAAATTAGTTCACAGTCACGGTTCAAAATTTGTTGTGCAAATCTGCTTAGCCTTTGTCTTTGCAATTGAAGACCTTGACAGAGTGTGATAAAAAGTCGTAAAAGAAAGTGTTCTCCAGTTGATTAATTCGACCTCCCTACACACACACTGCTCTTACAGTGAACAAGAGGTCATTAAAGCTGTTGCTGACCTGATAAGTCAGTTTTGAACTTTTGTGCGAGACGTACAATAATGTTATTGATAGCAATATCAGTTAGTGTGTCAGGCCGTTGCAGTTGAGAGTTGTTAAGCTGGATCAAGTATCTTAACATTTATTTTTGTGAATGACGGTCGGCCGAAAAGAGAAATACGGTCGAAAGCTAACTATTGAAGGATATTTACTTTATTAAATCGACCCTCTTACAGAGAAAACCTAAGGCCCACTGATTCCGTAGAACCATGGTTTGGGTTAGACCTCGTGTTAATTACCGGCCCTATTGGTGTATTGTGACGTATAAATGAATGTCAGTCAATGTAAGAATTTCAGCAATTTTTTCCACAACCGGATTCCAGAAAATAAGATAAAACACAAGAAAGCAATAGAGTTAATGTAATTAGGTATGAATTGTCTTTTGGGCGCGACACAGTTATTTCAGCCCGAGCCGCTGGGCGAGAGTTAAATGGATAAAGACGACCGAAAACTAACAATCGAAGGATATCAACTTGATAAAATCGACCCTCTTACAGAGAAAACCTAAGGCCCACTGATTTCGTAAAACCATAGTTTGGGTTAGACCCCGTGTTAATTACCAGCCCTATTGGTGTATTATAAGATGTTCTGCTACGTATAAATGGATGTCAGTCATTGCATGACTCTTGCTCCTTGAAAGGCGTGATTAATCAGGGGAAGGCGTCTCGAATATCACGGGAAAAAATCACCTCTCTTTAATTTGCCATGTACAGAAGCTTAAGACCAATAGGACTCTAATTCGTCCATAGGAAAATCTTACTGTCTCAGTTCACGTGTCATGAGTCATACGCAGTTTGTTTCGTGGGTAAGTTGTTGCATGTCGCGACTGAAAAGTTTGTGTGAAGTAACAATGCGATCGTCCCTATTCTTGCTTAGTGCGGTTAAGCAAAGCGTAATATACTCGGGAAAGGTGGCAGCTAGGTAGCGCTATAGAAGCCAAAAAAATAACAAAATAAATAATTCTGGTTTCAGATGAAATTTGGCTGTTAAGGAAGGCTTTGACTTTTCGACAAGCCTTGTAATCCAACCTTTATAAACCTGTGGAAAAGTGCGACTGTTCTATAGATAGATAACCGTTAAAAAAACGAGCATGACAAACGAGAGTTTGTTAGTAATTTTTTCCACAACCGGATTCTGACGGTGTAATGAAAACAAAATAAAATTAAAAAAGTAATAGAGTTAATGTTGACAGGTATGAATTATCTTTTGGGCGCGACACAGAGTCATTTCAGCCCGAGCCGCTGGGCGAGAGTTAAAAGGATATTTTTGCCGAATGACTTAACACTGTGTTACAATTATTATTAAATTGTTATCACTTAGAAGGGCATTGAGAAAAAAAAAGAAAAAACTGGAAAGTGACAACAAAAATGACAATAAAACAGTGGGAACAATCACGCAAACAATAATACTGTAATACATTTTAGCCCGCTAAAAAAATGTAGCCCAGGAAATGCGCCACGATGCCCGGCGGCTATGCCCATTAAAGGCGTAAAAGGTGCATAAGTCGAAACGCTCGCAACAGAACCTGCTATCAGGCTAAACAGACGACGGTAGGAGGTCTTATAGACGGCGGTAAACCCTTTTGGGAAACGAGACGATATAAACCAAAAACTGAAAACTACATGTTATCATTAATCATTAACCTGTCGCGTGTATCCATTCTTTTGTAATCTCTTGTTTTGACTATTATTGGCGGCGCTCTTTTGTTCTTAAGCCGAATAGTCGCATATATTAAGTTATGATCCGATATCCCCAAAGGGAATACACCTGTAGCGCTGACAAGATCTTTTCTTGTGGTTACAATAAGATCAATTAAGGAGCTTGATGTTATTGTTTGTGTTGTGGCTTCTTGTACGACGTTCTCCATATTAAACATCTCGAAAATGGAACGCAGTTTGCTAGTGTTTGCGCTCAATGAGCCCTTAGTAGAGAAGTTGCAGTTGAAATCTCCCATCAGAAAAATGTTGGAGGACTTCAGCCATGCCTTTTCTTAAAGGGAGTTGACAAGATCGAAAAAATGATCTGCGTCAGGAGGCCTGTACATGACTGCAAACAGAGCTGTGGAACTCGGAAATTTGACGTGTAACCAGATTCCTTCAAGGCTTTCAAAATGCAGATCTTTCCGCTGAGTTGCTTGCAAATGTTCTGCAAAATATAGGGCACAGTCACCGCCATTTCGCCCTTTCCGATCTAGTCGCAAAAGTTTCATCCCGTTAATGTCTAATGCTGAGTCCGGAACTGTTTTGTCAAGATGTGTTTCGGTCATTGCAATCATGTCAAATTTGCATAATAGCTGTAAACATCTCAGCTCGTCCATCTTGTTTCTTAAGCTGCAGACATTTAAATGAGCTACTCTTAAATCTTTTGCTGGAAAACTTTGTAGATGTTGAGTAAGGTCGGCGAGATGACTCGCACCATCCTCCCCGTTATGGATCGCGTTGTCAGTGTTAAGTCCTTCTTGTCCTTCTTCAATAGATAGGAAGGATTCGTCGGACACCGACGTAAATGGTAGGGCTGAAAGCAAATCATCTACCGGCAATGCTGGCTGTGTTAGACACCAAGGGCACTTCCATATTTTTGCATCACTCTTTAAGATATAGCCATATTCTTTGGGCGTAACATTCCCACATTTGATGTGGTATTTCAAACCGCAAAGGTTGCATTCTAATACTCGATGGTTACGAGCAATTGTTCTTGAACATTTTTGGCATTTGCTCCTCGCTGTACTAGGACCTGGGTTCAGACTTATGTCCCCACTTGTTTTTAGTCGAATAAGCTGGAAAGTAGAGTCGGAGTTAGAATAGCGATTTACTTTGGTGTGGTAGTAACCCTTGGCTTGATGATGCGGAGCTGCTAATCCAAAATGGCGTCGGAAGTTGCATGGCGACTCAGGTAAAAAACTTGGTATAAAAGCATCCTGCTGGCATCTCCTATTCACAACTTCAGCGACAACGTAGCGAGACACTTCCGAGTTTCCGATTAGCAAATATTTCCCGATGTAGTTAAAGGTGCAAAGGTAGAGAACATACAGTAATCGAGAGTCAAATAACTGTGACCGGCCAAAATAATTCTCAATTTAGTTGGACCTTGTATCTTTTGTGAATGGTGTCAAGACGGCCGAAAGCTAACTATTGAAGGATATTTACTTTATTAAATCGACCTTCTTGCAGAGAAAACCTAAGGCCTATTGATCCCGTAAAGCCATGGTTTGGGTTAGACCTCGTGTTAACTACCGGCCCTATAGGTGTATTATAAGATATTTTGCCACGTATAAATGGATGTCAGTCAGTGCATGACTCTTGCTCCTTGAAACGTGTCATAAAGGCGTCTCGGATATCACGGAAAAAAATCGCCCCTCTTTTAATTGCCATGTATAGAAGCTCAAAACCAATTAGATTCGAACTCGTCCATAGGTGAATCTCAGCTCGCGTGTCATGATTTGTACGCAGTTCGTGTCGTGGGTAAGTTGTTGCATGTCGCGGTTGAATAATTTATGTAAAATAACAATGCGATCGTCTCTTCTCTTATTTAGTGCAGCTAAGCAAAACGTAACATACCTGGGAGAGGTGGCAGCTAGGTAGCACTATAGAAGGTAAAAAAGTAACGAAACAAATAATTCTGATATCAGATAGAAACTGGCTGTTTGGGAAGGTTTTGAATGATAACTCAGTGATAACTCATGATATGATATGATAACTCAACCAAAGAAAGCAGTAAAGGGAGCTTCAGAGAAGACAACCGACAAACCTACGAGCACTCGTCGAGCGTCGACACCGACAACCTAAGCAATTTATGTAAAATAACAATGCGATCGTCTCTTCTCTTGTTTAGTGCAGTTAAGCAAAACGTAACATACTCGGGAAAGGTGGCAGCTTGGCAGCACTATAGAAGGTAAAAAAGTAACGAAACAAATAATTCTGATATCAAATAGGTTTTGAATGTTCGACTGAGCCTTGTAATACAGCCCTTATAAACCTGTAGAAGGATGCGACTGTTCTATAGATAGATAACTGTTAAACAACCAGAGAATGACGAACGAGAGTTACATTAATTTTTTTCCACAACCGGATTCCGGTGGCATAAAGAAAATAAAAAAAGAGATTTAATGTTAGCGGGTATGAATTATGTTCTGGGCGCAACACAGAGTCATTTCAGCCCGAGCCGCTGGGCGAGAGTTAAAAGGATATTTTTGCCGAATGACTTAACACTATGTTATCATTATTATTATAACTGTTATCACTTTGGAAGGCACTGAGAGAAAAAAATTAAAAAAAACTGGAAAGTGACAACAAAAATGACAATAAAACAGCGTGAACAATCACGCAAACAAGCTAGCGATCTGTAATACATTTTAGCCCGCTAAAAAAAGTAGTCCAAGAAATGCGTCATGGCCAGCGACTGTACCCATAAAAGGCGTAAAAGGCGCTTAAGGCGAAACGAACGCAGCAGAACCTGCTACCAGGCTAAACAGACGGCGGTGGGAGGTCTTATAAACGGCGGTAGACCGTCGGTAACCGGTTTTTATTGAACTCGGCGCTTAAGTCAAAACGTTCGTTCATATGTTATATTGTACTTTGGTTAAAGAGTCTTTCGTCTGTTTTGAATTCGATGCTTTTTGAAAACAACAAGCTATTGAAAATAAGTCAACGCGTTTTGAATAGAAATCAACACAAAAGGAATTGCTAACTGTTTCCTTTCTCCAACGTGCTCTAGTGGATGGTCTATTAACTCTTTTGATCATTCATTCAATTTTTTTTTCTAACTCATTTGTTCAATTTCAAACCATCACACACTTTTAAATAACCATCTGTGCTGGTAAGTTCTCTGTACGTTCGTGCTGCGTGATCTGTCTTACTAATTTTGTTTATTACAGACTGCACACTTTGAAGACATTTCAGCAATTAGTTGTAAAAAATATATTTACAAACTCTTTAATTGGTATTAACCACTTGCCTAACGCATACCGTAGAAGCTGTAGTAACGTCAGCTTAATGGCTGGTTGATAATGTTTAACAGCAGAGCGAATGACTAAATCGATAGCATGGCTAGTGCCCAAATGTCTGCTAAAATAAGAAGCTGATAATTGAGATAAAACGTTTGAAACGAAACGTTTGAGGCCCAAACCATCTACAACATTTGATTGCGTGAAAATTGCGCTGCGAATGTACAAACCACGATGTGTAATTTTTGTTAGAGGAATGTCTATAACGTGCCTAATCTGTGATTATTGCGGATGCATTTCTCAAATACTTGATGGGAAAAAAAATCAATGTGGATAAAGGATGCGCTGATATACATCGATTGCTGGTCGTAAAATTTCCACAGGTACTTCCTTGATCAGTGAATTAAAGTAAATATGTCCTTAAACACCTTCAGGCTTCTTCACTATTGCCTCAAAATAAATAACTATAGTTTCCACTACGCACAAAATCCAGTCAAAGCGAACACAAAAGATGTTAAAAAAATACTTCATGCCATTGAGGTAACTACGAAAACCCAAGATGACTAAAAACTGGTTCATCAGAAAGCGTGCGTTCGGCAGCATGCTTTTCTAAAGGATGCAACACCACTGTTTACGTTTCCCATAGTCATGTTACCCGAAGATGCTAATCTTATCTGACGGCTCGGCCAGTAAACTTGCGAATAAAGTTTTTTCGTTTAACAGCTTAGCAATCGTCTCTAACAGATAGATTCAAGCGTAACACCAAACGTCCCTATTTATAACTTTAATAGAAAAGATCTTTAACATACGACAGCTATCGGATGCTTGACGTTAATGGCTGACGAAAGGAAAAGTGCCAAAGTGAGTTTACCTTTACACCGTCACATTTACCCGCGAAAAGCAAAGATTAGTCTCGTCCTCCTTCCCCCTACCTTTAAAGTGATGTGATGAGATCGAGTTAGTAGTGTCGCTTCAGGACAAGTTTATTAGAGAAACGCGGGGGCTTGTTATAGAAATTGTTGATCTCAACGCCATGAGGCGACTCTACCGGTCAATCGGTTAATATTCCCCGGTAGGATAGCGGCAATTTTACAAGCAAAAGAAAAGATGCCAAATAGTTACGCAATAAGTACACGTGTCTACTGCGGATGTTATTCGCAACGTAGGTAATAAAAGCGTTAATAGAGTGATAAAAGTGTTTCTTAATCATTGACTCCTTGGGCTACGCCGCAGAAATCATTCTCATTTCACTAAATGAAAAAGATTATTCAAGTTTTCAGGGGTACAGTTGTTTAGAAAGGACGTGAGGGGAAATAAAAAATTACTTGAAGTTAATAGACAATTGATTTTGCGTTTAAACTTCTGAGGAAAAAGTTACAATTACAAGAATCTCAAAAATATAAAATTTTGTTCAAACAATGGCGGTTTTTAATTATCGGGAATCGACTGAGGTTAGCTCGCGAGAGCACTTACAAATTTGCGGGCTTGCACCATAAGGGCGGCTCCGAAAAACTTCGGAACGTAGTATCTTTTGTTCGGCTTCGAAAAGGCCGAATGGTGAAGACGACGCTTCGAAGAATCGGCCGCCTTTGATCTTTTTATTTGACAGCTACACCTCTATATAAGCAAAAACTCCGCAAAACTGCATTCAAATCGCTCAGATCAGGACAGAAGACGCATCCCGTGTTATTTTATACTAACGATGGCTTCGCATGTGGATATCTCAATTCGTGTTCCGCTGAACTCTTCGTCTGTGGCTCCTTCATCTCGAGCCAGTCTGCTTCCGCACAGACCTTCCCTCGAAACAGTCTCCACTCAACCGGTTTCCTTTTCTATATCCCGAATTTTAGGGTTTGAAGGCAACCCCTTTCAGCCTCCGGCATATTCGCTACCTCCTGGTATGTAGAATTCCTTATATCTTAATAGGTGACGTCTATTTTTGAAGTTCAAGGACGTAGCTGATTGTATCTTCAGTGAATTAAGCGTCATAGGGAAATGAGTCTTTGGATAATCTTTTTCCTCCAAATTTGAAAGAAGTAAAACTAGATCAACGGAACACAAATAACTGTCATGTTAGGACACGATCAACATAGATTTCCAGTAAAGAGCTAAAGACAATGTTGCATCCGATAAGTTGAAGGGGTGACGCGAGAGGAACAATCAGAAAGTAAAATAAATTTAAGTTAGACGACCACGGATTATTACTCTCTATACCCTCTACAGTGGTTTCCTTGGACTAACGCAAGAGAATACCATCTCCCTGTAATACATGACTTTAAGTGCTAATTTACTTGGAAAATGTAGAACACATAGACTATGAGGTTTGCAAATTAATTCTGGTTTATCGTATTAAAATTGTCCAAGTTGTGTTGTTGGAATCAAATATCTGAATGATAACCTCCTTGCCTTCCTTCAAAATGCTTATAGTTCGTTTATAAAATGACTAGATATTTAGCCATGAATGAATGAAGTCATTCCTTTATCTTGGGTCCTGTTTCAGCTTATGATAACTCAACCAACGAGAGCATTAAAGGGAGCTTCAGAGAAGACAACCGACAAACCTACGAGCACTCGTCGAGCGTTGACACCGACAACCTGAGCACTGACTTACACAGCGTCACAAACCAATCCAGTCTATCCACCGCGCGGCCAAAGATGAAAAGGAAACAACGAACAACGTTTTCACCTCTAGAAGTCTGGGAACTGGAGAGCGTGTTTGCACAGAGACCATATTTAATGCCAGAGGACGAAGACGAATTGGTACAAAAACTTGGACTCACTGTAAGGAATATACGGGTAAGATTTGTCTACTTAAGTTTTTGAATACTGTGTAAAAGGCTTTTGCTTTATGCCGTTGAATCTCTTCGCACAAAAAAAAAAAATTAGGAATATTTATTTACATACGTATACAGCTGTTTCGAAAAAGGTTTTCAGGGGAAAAAAGGACAAAAGTACAAACAAAAATTCCGAGAGGCATTTAGGGTAGTTTTCAGGTCACGGTTGCTTGAGCTCAGGGTTTCAGGAAATATCAGAAAACCTCAGTGTGAGGACAAGGATCTGCCGGTTTGATGAGTTTAATTACTTATTTAATTTATTAAAATTCATTGAATACCAGATACCCAGATAACCTTTCGAGACTGTGGCATGTTTTCGTTTTTGCACATTACTTACCTTACATTAACGAAAACAAATAGGAATTCTTCCCATCAGCCGCATGAAGAAAGTTGTTAACGATTATTTAATTTAATATTTTCAGTTCTGGTTCCAAAATCGTCGGGCCAAGTTACGGAAACAAGCAAAAGCCTCGATTGATGTCAATCGAACCAGCCGGCCGAACCAGTTTGACCAGTTTCCGCTTCCACCTTCACCGCCACCGTACAATAAATATCAGCCTGGAAATCTGTTTTATCCAGCTTTCCACAGCCCATATCGTCCACAGTTCAACTGGCAAGCTGGATTTTCGCCGAGAATGTTGCCATCATACTTACATAAGGATGCACCTTGCTCATGCTGTAATATGAAGTCAACGGCCAAACAGGAGGACCACATAAAGAAACCAGTTTAGTCAGTTTGAAGAATCCATAGCAGCCGTAGAAAGGATGCCCAAACCAGAGCATCTTCAAAAACTGTCACGTGGTGACAGCGACCAGCAGGCAAGCCAATAGAAATTCAACACTGGTGCAAAGGAGAAAAGCGTGAGAAATCATCATTTGACCATTCACTTGTATTTAAAAGAAAACTTCACTACAGTTCGATGCTGTTACAATTTTGTTACATAGACATTTTTTTGTGAGATCTTTCATTGCAATGGAGTGCCTATAATGTATGCACATTTTCCTTTTAATTTAGATAATGTCTATTTGAACTAGAATGTAAATACAGAGAAGCTTTGCTTTATTGTACGTCTTCGGTAATCAGAAACGCAGAAACCGGTTGAATAAAAATTTTTATTAAATAAATTAAATGATTAATGTCAGTGTGGTTAAATTTTGTCGGTTTACCGAAGACTCGATGGATGTATTCCTCTCCCAAATTAATTTTAATGAGAGGTCTTTGAATTACGCTCCACTCCACCGCTAGAAAAAAAGATGAGCTAGGTCAGGATATTCTTCAATCTATAACAGGAGATAGGAACGATAAACTCAAATTCTCTTTTATTATCACGCCACAAATTTATGAAAGCATCGGCCCCGTCATGACTACCGCCGGAAGCTTTTTACTTCTTTCGCAGGTTTGCACTACCATTCGATTTCCTAAATGCACGGTGAAATATCGATATGGTGGATTGACCTTTCGTCTTCAAATTATCAGGCACAAAATTGTGCAAAACATGTTCTGAGTAAAGTGAGCATTTTGGTACCTGTGTTACTCAAAAATCTCTTTAAAAAGCGTAAAACACACGATTTATGTGGCAAATGGTCATAAAAAAGTAATGCTAAATCTAATCAGGGTTAATGAACGTTACACTCGTTTCACCACACCACTTAGTTACAAACTCTTATTACATTTATTTTGAAATCACTGGTGATCATTGCACTCTAATTGGCTCTCAGCACTGTAAAATATTCAGAAATGGCATTATTTTTTTCTCAGCCAATGAGAAAGCTATACTAAAAAGAAAACAAGCAATCAGATTGCAAAGCATGTTTTAAGAAAAAAGTCGAATTAGAGGAAACTGGGAGACGAATTTTGCAACTTTTGTCCTCAAAACTAAAAGAAAATATAAATTACCAGTATTTTTTGGGCAACGAAAATAAGATATTTGTAGTGATCCAAAATCCTGTATTTGACTTGTATTTGAATTATTTGATTTCAAAATGTGTGTAATTTTCAAGGGGTAATTAACTGAACTTTTGTTGTGCAATTTGGTTTGGAATCAAACTTGTGATTTTGTGATCCTTGCAATTTGAATGGCTCTCGCTGGTGCGGTTTATTCATGAATCGCATCACTTTTTGCTCTAAATCGCATATTTTCCCACCAATTAATGAGACTTTTACTACAACACAATAACCAATCAGATTTCTAGGCTCATTTTAAAGAGACTAATAATATGAAAGAAAAATGAAAGAAAACCATCGAAACTTTTTACAAACCAGCTCAGTGCTGTATTGATGAACTATTTGCACAGAACAAAAAAAATCTCGCATTTGCGGCATGAGGAAACGACTCTTTATCTGCAATTTGCTCAAACAGGGCACAGTGAAGCATTCTCTCTCTATTCAAATTGTTACTACCGATAACTGATTTCAAGGTGTCTCATTTGTAATCCTGGACTGTACGGCCTTTTACGAAATGCGCTTTTGTTTTGCAAAGCGGGTGCGTGGGAAGCGTTTGATGAGAAATACATATTTTTCCAGTTTAATTTAAGAAGATGATTGATTTGTTCTCAAAAGAGAGGCTTTAAGCTTGGCCCCACTTCAAAAGTGTGCTTTTCTGGACCTCGTATTTAGCTTAAAAATCATTAATTTTAATTTACAAGTTTAATATGCTGTGAAACTTGAAAGGTAACTAGTGAACCTAAAAGATCGTTAACCGATGCCTCCTCGGTTAACTGCAATGAAGAAAAAATTTCAATAACGACCTAGATGAGCACAGAAAACAACAACAGCAAAAATATCAATAATATTACGAGCAGCAGCATCAACCCTGAATTCTTAGTGACGTGAACAAAACAGTGAACCTCGCTCCGAACGAGGCCCAATCTACACATGGAATACGAAAAGCCGGAGGCGGAACCTGAAGAAAGAACTACAATCTGTGGCAGACTAGCGTTTGGCCTTTTATCAAGAATTATCGAAACAGGAAAAAAACGACCTCTAAAAGAAAACGATATTCCTTCCCTAGATGTTGAAGGCACCAAGTATTTGACTGAAAACTGGAATTAAAATGGAAAAACGAAATTGAAATCGGTAGAGTCCGAAGTTCTAAACCTCGTTTGAGAAACGCAGTCCTAAGGGCCGTCGACAAGTACTTACTGTCTCTGATTGTGCTATAAGCAAATTTAGAGACATTACGTGTAATGATTCAGCCTGTCCTACTAAGCTTTCTCCTGGCTGATCAGTGTGCATAGGCTTCTTGTATACGCTGGTGGTTAGACATCAGCCAAATTCTCTTGAAACTGCCGTCGAGGAAGGCGAAAACATAACGTTTCCATATTCCAGAGTTGTGAAATTATCATCAATGCAACTGCTGCAACTGAACTACTTTTATCCACATTTCTTTTGAGCTACATCAAAGACCTCTTCCTATTCCAAAAGTATTTTTCTGTATCATTTCTGATCGACCCTTCAACTCGTAAAATCCTTCCTCTTCCCTATACCTCCCAACCCAGTATTCAGCCATACACTTGAGATTTTTAAAATATAAATTTGCTTTTTTTGCACGTGTGATTAATGGACAAAATTCAAAGTTGAACTTCATCTTATCATTAATCGTCTTGTGCTTTTTCCTTTTCTTACAGATTCTGAACACGCGCCATCATATTCTTGCTGAAAGAACTTAAGGGTATTTGATAAACTTGATTTCTAAGGACATGGCCCCGATCCATCAAGTTTTCTCTAACCTTAGATCGCTTTCTTCTCTTCTGGAGATACTTCTCGTTTTTTCTCTTTCGTGGAACTTTGTCGGCTGGTAAACATTTCGACGTGTGATCTTTTCAATAGCTCTCATCTTCTGTCAAACGACCTTGGGAAACGTTTTCACAAGTCTTCGGGACAAGGCCGCCAGGATGACGGACAAGAGACTACGTCTGATACGTGACGTCATTTCCGGTATACGTGTGCTAAAAATGAATGCTTGGGAATGATGCTTTCATGATTTGGTTTCCGAGGTTAGGAGGTAGGAGTTTCCTTTTAAAAATTAAACAGTTCATGGTTTATATACGCTGATAACACCCTTCTTAAAGGGAAAGAAAATTATAATCACTCGTCATCAGAGCTAAAAAAAAACAGCTTAAGATAAAAACTCCGTAAATTCATTTTACATCTCTATATTCTCAACTTTGCTAACCATGAAATGAAATTTTTGTGGTATTAGTTTTTGCTGCTTTTAGGTACAGTCCTCCATGTGCAAAACTTAAGTCCCGAAAAGTAATGAAAAAATCAGTCATTAACACGTCCCAGTCCAATATATGCAATATACTTGCAACTTAAGTGTCAGTTCGTGTTTTTTTCTCTAAGACTCACTCAAAGTATCCATTAACAATTCTAACAAATTAACTCAGCAAGGTGGATAACTTTAAATACAAACTTTAAATATAATATATACTAACGTGGTTAAAACATTGTCCTCAACCTTTTTCTCGGTTGTCTCCGAAGATTTTCCTCTCCGTCAATTGTTCATTTTTTGGACATTATTTTAGCCTCAGAACTTCCTTAACCTTCAAGGAATCGTAAAAACTTGACTTTGAAGCAAAGCATTAATTATTGAATTTGAAAATAATGTTATGAGCGAGATTTCTCATCGTAGTCTTGAGTTAAAAACCAAAGTAGGAAGAGAAGACGGAGTATTTTTTTTTCTTGTCACACTGTTAAACAGCTTGGTCTCAATTGCCATGGTAATTATAGTTATTTCAGTGTTCAGTGTAATACTCTCGTTAGAGAAAACAATAGTGGGTATCTGTAGACTGCATACACTGACCGTTCATCTGTTTGTATTTTTTCTTTAGCTTACCTCCGCAGTTAAATGTTTTTGTCTGGACTAAATGTCTTGCTTGGACTGTTTTCTTAAGATTCTACAAACACAATAGCTAATCATTACAAACGATATTCTGTTATGGTGGTACGATCCACTGGTTACTTTAATTGACTTTGAAAAAGGCGAGCTGTTTAGAACTCTCTATGGGTGTCTTCTCAGTCGTTCCTTAATCTGAAATACAAGAAAGGAGATTGTGCATTCTTTTAAAAGAATGGCTCATCAATGACTGTGATGAGCCGCTGTAAATTTACAAGAAAAGTTCATAGCTTAAGTAAGTAAGAGGGGAAAGAAAGAAATATAACTAGTCTCGACGCATAAACCTCTGGGGATGCTCTGAATAAACCCTGTGCGTCGTTTTGAATGTAAGTGACAAATATTGTTCGATCTTTCGAAGTACTCGCACTACCCTGGAGACATTTTTTGTCACGTAAATCCAGGTGTAAATTACGAAATTTCGATAATTAAACGAGTAAAGGGAATCCAGAGAGCAAATTAATCCACAAAAAACTCACATTAACCCTGTTTGGTCAATTTCAGACTTCTTGAAAAGTCGTTCAGAAGTCAGATGGATCTCTAGTTGCCCTTTTTCATCTCGTTATCAGCTGAAGTTAGCTATATGTATTGTGCACGACTGCCACTTTAAAATGCTATTTTTTTTGTCAATGCTGTCATTGTTACTCAGCATTAAAAAGAAGAATTAGAAAATTAGAACGCTATATGCATATTCTCCCATTTCACAGCTACCAGACTTATAATCCATACACAGGAGCTTAGGGTCTACAATTAAGGTACATGCTATCTTCCTAGCAAGCGTCAGTGTTTTAAGACTGTTTCTCCGTGATTAGCTTGGGTTTGGTCTCTATAGCACTGCGGGTGATATTGTAATTATTGATTGATCAGTGAAAACAATCAGCATTCGAAGTAACCAATTGACACATTCAGTTTCCCTTTACTCAGAAGTTTCTTCTTCAACTACGCATCATGAAGATAACTGGAAGGTGCTGCTTTCTTATTTATTTTCAACTATTGATTCTGGTCTTCGCCGGTCGAACCCGAGGTTTGAAAAGCTACGAGGGGTGAGTTGGATAATTTACTTAGTAATGAAAATTTTAAATTTTATAGCACAGGGACTGAATCAGCCAATTAAAAAAAATAAATGGGTTTAATATTTTTACAAACAGTTTTTAAATTTGTTAAAAGTCTAGGTTGTAAGGTTTCTTGACCGCTCCATCAAACAGGCGAAGTTTTGCTTTGCTTTTCATATAGTTAAGAACATGATTCGATGGACTAATCGAAATAGCTTGATCCATGTTTTAATTCCTATTGTATTATAAAACGCAACTGATACTAAAATTATTGGACAAAGAAAATCTGGTCATGAGAAAAGGGATGTTGAATAAAAACTTATCGTTGAATAAGCCTAAATGAGGAAAAGGGAACCCTTTCATTAATCTCAAGAGCAATCGAATATAAGTCCCTTCGAAGAATTGATCGTATTTAATTTATGAGTGATTGTTAAAAATGATATGATAGTTATCACTGTGGTCTGCTGATAAAAAACTAAAACTGAAATTTATAAACAATATTGTAGCTTAGGGCAATTTACAAATAACTCCGTCTGACTTCTGAACTGCTTTTCAAGAAGTCTAACATTCTTTTTGATCCAACCCTTTTCTAATCACTGAGAATTCTGAGCACTTTAAACAAGTTATCATCCAGTCTCTGCAACAAAAACCACTTTAAGGTGTCATAAAGATGGACAAATCTAAATAGTTTGATCCATGCCTGGATTTGTACCATAAACTGACCGGAACTCAATTGTCAATACAACGATTGCAGCAAAAATAGAAATTTGGTCGTGATAAAAGAGATGAATGATGTAGAATAAAAAGATATTGTTAAACAGACTCAAAGAACGAAAAGTAACGCTCTTAATTCTTCAGAGCATTAGAATATTTTTATATAACAAGTTTGGTCGTATTCTCTTTATGAGTGGTTCAGCGATCGTCGAAAAATGGGTTGGTATAGCTGCTCCACAGTGGTCAGCCAATATAAATGGAGTGTAGTCTAAAATCCATTGATTGTAGCTTTAGTCTCATAATTTCTTATAACTCACTGATAAATATTTAAATTTCGTTTGACAATTTTGTCAATTGAACATCGAATTTGAAAATTCTTAATTACATATAAAAGAAACTTCTGTTGAGTTATAATTTAAAGGCACATTTCAAATGCTCAGCCAATGGGTTGCCAGTCTGCGGAACCATGGCGGACAAATCGTTCGTAGCTTTTAAATTCTGTTGGTACTCACCGTAGATGCTAACTCTCACCAAGTGCTCTAACAGAGAAACGAGACAATATTTCCGATTGCATTCATACGCTTACCACCCATTTATCTAAGACATTGTGCTACTTATCTGCTACGAAAGAATCGATAAAGCAAGGTTGGAAACAGACGGCTGACCTTAGCCGCGCCTATGTTAAATCTCACTGTATCGAGTGTATCGCATAACAAAAAATGTAGCCTTAAAAGCAGGGAACACATATCAAGCGAAGCTCGAGAGAGGTACGAGTTGCCTCTGGACCCCATGCTTGATGTTTCAGGTGTACACACCGTTCTTTTGCTTCTTGTTTAGGGATAGCTTTGGAATATTATAAATCTTGTTTTTATCATTTTTGTTTCTTCAAATCGGACTTCAAAAGCCGATTTTACTCGTTATAAAACTTCATGACCGACGATGCTTCCTGGTGCTCTTTAAGAGTACACGCTGCTCGCGTCACCAGTGATTCCAATTTTTTATCAGTGATGCGTTCATATTCTTTCCTAGCTACAAAGTCATACGAGTAGCTCCACAGTCAGATGAAGAAGTCTCTTCTCTGAGGGATTTACTGCAAAGTCGGAAGAACGTAAGTTTTGGGTAGTGATATTATTTCATGCACCCGTTAAGGGGGCTCGATAAGGTTTTTTGAACGCGCGAGATATGGGTGCAAAAATAGCGCGAGCTTGAAAAGTGTCAACATGCAAAACAAACATAGCGGCTAGATAAGATCACACGATTGCTATCTGAAAAGGAGTGTTAAAATAGTTTAACTAAATAGAGTTTTTATGTGATGGAATCTTGGTTTTCAAGCAACTGCAACCGTAATATTCATAGGCCTTCTAAACCTGAAAAAGAGGTCAAACGAAAAGAAAACACCCTGGGAAACATTGCCAAAAGGCGAAAGTTTACTCATGCTCGGATATAAATCTTGGCGAAGTTCTATTCCACTACGTAATGTTTTGCGACAAATAAATAGGAATACTTCGAGTAAGATTTATCGCGTTCCTTCAGTGGAATTTCCTACGATTTGCCGGACCGTTAAAAATATGTGTGCCCTTTTTAGTCCCTGTTGATTAAAAAAAAATTCATAATACTAACTTTGAGATGGAGAAAGAAAACACAAAATTGCAAATAGAGAGGAAACTGCCTTTGTAACCCCTATTTTTTTCGGCTTTTTAATGATCACCAGGGCAAATTTCACAAAGTATGAAAATTTTGAGAGATTTCACCGAGGCAAAATGAAGAAAATCAAAAACAAAGCCAAATTATCTTTGACGAGCGCTTTCCTTTATGGAGCCTTAGCTTAATAATGGATATGATTTTGTTGATATTTATTACAGCAAACGAATCTTGCTTGTCACCTTTTGATGGCTTTTTGTGACTTAGAAAAGCGAAAACATAAAAAAAAGAATCCTAGAAAAACACTGGTGCGCGCTAACATTGAGCAAAAACCCTATGCAGCCTCCTTAAGGTAAAATTTGGAACGTGAAACGATTATAATAATAATATTAATTTTTTTCTCGATGCGCGAGCGGGCGGTATTCTACAACTCTGGCCCGCTTGAAGTAATTCGATTACTGAACGTCGCATTGAATCCCAATGTTTCTAGCTGAAAAAAAAAAAGAGCGTGTCATTTGACCTCGGTTTTTCAGTGGTAGAAAGACAAGTTAACTAACGCCATTTCAGGAAACAAATAGACTGAATCTACCTACAAGATAATTTAGTATCATTACTGAGCTGATATCGTAAATTGGTCACCGCAAAGAATTAAAAGGCTGATGTTTCGAGCCTTATGTCCTTCATCAGAGCGAATGGAGCTTCGCTCCGACGAAGGGCTAACGTTTGAAACTTCAGCTTTGACGAAAAAGTCACTGTGGTAGTCATTTAAATCGAGTTTGCTTGCCAAACCAGTGCTACCGTTTTTTCAAAAGTGTATGCGGACTTTCTAATTGACAGGTGTCAGATCGTGGCAGATACTTAATTAGAGGCTTAAATGGCACAGGTCAACGAAACCAGAATGCGCAGTTGGATTAATATTGAGTTAACAAAAATCGAAGGGTGATTGTGTGTTTAGAATGCGATTGATTTTTTTGTAGCTAGACGTCTGGAAAGCGCCTTCACAAACGGGGAGAGAGGTGCATATTCACGTAGGTCCAGATTCAGTCGAGGATTTCAAGGCACATCTCGCTGAACTTTCTCTGTATAAGGACACGATAGCAATCGACACAAGAGAGATGATTGATAATCAAGATAGATGTTGTCATGGAAACAGCGATTTCGACAACTGTTATCACACATTGGATGAGGTAAAATGGTAATATGGAAATATTAAGTAACTTGTATCTCAAAGAATTGTAGTCTTATTCAACAGCGAAAAAGCAAAAGAAACGAGGACGAGAAGGTAATTGGGGAAATTGGCATGAAATGGCAACTCTATACCCTATATAGGGAGAGTGGGGCCAATACTTGTAAAAGTAATACTTTGATTCTTCATCCGTCCACAGATAATTTTAATTTTTGCTCAGCGAGTACGGTAACAAATCCTGTCATCTGATTGGCCGTTGTTGCGGTCCGCATTTTCCTATCTCTGCCCGCGGGCACGGTAACGCTCTCGTGAGTTGCCGAGTACGTCCCTACCTTCGTTGCCATTTTTCCTAAATATATCCCGTTTCGCTGACTGGGTATATTTTCAAGCAACGTATTTCTAAGCAAATCAAACCGATCACTAACTTTTTAATTCTCTCTTTTCTCTCTGTCCCAAATCACTTTCATTACTGGCAAAAAAATGTCTTCGAAATAAAGTTGTTGTGCAAACCGTTTGTAATTAACTTTAATCCTTCCCAAAAAGTTACTAAAAAAAGTGGAATTGTGAGGTATTTGTTACGATTGAATTAATCGATGCAATTTTCATTCATTTAATATCTGAATTCTCTCAATCAAATTTTTTCGCTGTCAAGCGGTGAGCCAAGGTTTCAGTCCTACTACAAATATGCTCTCGGTAAGTCTTTGCAAGTCTGTTCAACTTGGTAATTTGCACCGTAAATTGCATAACAAAAACCGAAAGAAATCAACGAAAAAACCGCACTAAATTCTCTTGGGTCTAGTTAAAGTGTCTCATTTGACTTGAGTTTTTTGCTGGAAGAAAACAAGATTGACACACGCCATTAAAGCAAGCTTACGAGCAAACTCCTACAACTTCAAAACATGCGTTTTAATTTACCTACAATTACTTTTTTTGTCATTCCCTGACTGAGCACATTTATTCTTCTTACCTCAATCATCGATGAAAATTAATAATACTTTTCGTAGGATCACCAAACGTTTTTGAAGAGAAAATCGTCGCGACAGTCATTGAATTTGGTTCGTTTGCCGAACAAGTACATTTTTTTTTCAAAAGTGTACATCCATTTTTTTTCTTGCGCGCACTCTAATTAACAGGTGTCAGATTGCGACAGGTCGGTCCGTATTGGGAAAAACTGTGCCCGAGGTCTTGACCGGCACAGTTTTTCCCGACGTGGACCTCCTGGCTGGCGAATAACATATATTTATTCAGCAGTTCATTCAATCCATCCATTCACCCCTCTAAATTGTCAAATAACGGTCCTCAGCATGAAAATTAAACGATATCTGATTTTCCTTCTCTTTGTAAAATAATCAGATCCACAAGGAAATGTATCGCCTCCGGTCAGATCATCCATCATTGGCATCAGTAGTAGAACTTGGAAAGTCGTACGAGGGACGGAACATGTTGGGAATAACGGTAGAAGTTATCTTTTCTGATGAATAGATACCAACTTTTATTCATTACTATAGTTCTAGTTTTTCGTAATTGTATACCATAATTTATCCTATCGTCTCAGTTGTTGATTACCCAGTTTCTCGATGGAGCGACTAAGCACAAATATTTAATTTGTCCTTAATGCGCAGAAATTGGCTATTGGAACTTTGAAATTTGCTAGAGGTGATTTCTAGTGCCGCAAGGAGTTGATAGTTTCGTGGAGACTTTTTTACTGTTTAAATTCCTTAACATTTCATGGCCTTCGTCTGTGTATATTTCTACATTCTTAAAAAGGTTAGAGTTTTATTTAAGCGTACAAGTATTCAGCTAGAAGGGAATAACTTAGGACACTACCCAAAAATCAAATATATATATATATATATTAACCATTTTTACATGTATAATAGTTAAAAAATTAAAATTTACAAGATAGCTTCTATTTTGATGTTTTCCTATGTTTCCAGAGTAATTGTTCGTGCTAAATCATAATTTTACTGCTGCCTTGATGCTGATAACAATGAATAGAAACTTAATTAGCAGCATCTTCTACAATGGTGTGAGGTCCCTTCTCTTTACTGTAAGTTCTTTGATGGATCTACAGTGTTTCACGTTTACGTTTGATTCCTAGAGATTTCTATAGAGAAATACCTTAGTAACACTTTGTCTGGGGACACCTATTTTAATCTCGTAACATTGTTATACCTTTTCTCAAAAATTTAGCCCATTATTTGCTTGATTTTTTCTTATTTCTCTTTATATTTGTAATTATTCTTAGATTAAGCAAAGTAGAAGAAAAGTTAAGGGTTTGATATTCATTGCTTGTGGAATTCATGCCAGGGAGTGGATAAGTCCTGCCACTTGCATGTATCTTATACACCAAGTAAGTTCCGCTTTGCAAAGGAGAAATGAGTCAGTCATTTTGCCATTTGAGTAACCCTCTTAGAATTTTTTTTTTCACCTCTTTTGCCTCCTACATATAAACTACTGATTCTTTGAATTCAATTCTCATTTTTTTGTTTCAAACTTCTAAAGCCTCCCTACAACCAGATCTTTTCCTTTCTCTCTTTTCATAAGCCCAGAGCCCATCATGTAACTTGCAATAATTGCATACAAATTATCGCCCACCAGCCTACGCAACTGTGCTTATACTTTCCCATGAAGAACGAGCACATTATCTCCTTCGGCTGTCGGAGCTAAATTCCCCAGCATAATTATGAAAAAACCGGCATAAAGTTTTCTTTCTCTCCACCGACTTTTATTTGATGATGTAAATGTCAATTTTTCTTATGTTATTAGAATTTTCGTTTTAGATTCTGAATTTCTCAGATCGGGATGAAGAAATTGCGAACATGACCAAAACATTTGAATGGTTTTTCCTGCCAGTTTTTAATGTTGACGGTTACGAGTTCACTCACAAGGTAAGCAGGCTTAATATAAATCTTAAGCACGTGATAAGATAAAATGCGTAAACAGATGAGTGAATGGCTAACAATTGAACAGGTATATAGATAGTCAAATGTAAGCTTGGAAAGGGAAAGTTAAGAAAAGTTTGAAATTGAATTCACAGGATTTTTTTTCTCTTATTTTTTTTCCAAAAAATTCTAGGAGGACCGTCTATGGCGAAAAAATCGCCGTGTGTTTGATTCTTCCTTACCTGCAGATTGTATTGGTGTGGACCTGAACAGGAACTTTAATAACAGTAAGTGGGGTGAGTAACAACTGTGCTGTTTATCACCAACAACTGTTTTCAACATCTGTACCATTTATATATGGACATACCAATCGTACATCCCGAAATAAACATATTTTAAAAAATAACATTTCCAAATTGAAAGCACGAGAAATAAAACGAGAAATTGTAACTGAATTTACACGGGTGAAAACATACAAAGCTTTTCTTTGTAGGACTCAGCATGCGTAATTCAGCGTAAACCTGTTTTATTATTTTTATTTTTTCATTCTTGGTTCACAAATTATATCCAAAACATAAAATCGAACAACCCTTATTTAAAAAGGGTGAAAAACAGACCTCTAATCTTAGTATAACTCATCATGACGGCCTAACGGACAAAATGTCGTTTGTGTTTCAGATAAACACCTTCAAGTAGTAACTTACTACGTTTTCACTCACATAACAGTGACATTATTCATACCCTTTGAAAATATTGTGATTTTTTCCTTTTATCAACTCAGGTTCTGACCTAAATTCACATGACACATGCAGCGAACAATTTTCCGGAGAAAGTCCCTTCTCTGAAATAGAGTCCTTCAACGTCGCCAAATATCTCACTGATCGAAGATCCGACTTGATAGCATTCTTCGATTTTCATAGTTATGGGCAGCTGTGGATGTCACCATGGGGATGGAGAGAAGATAGACCATCAGATTATGACGAAATGGTTAGTAAGAAAGATGGCTACTTATGTCTAATATCTGTACATATATTTTCATGAAATAGTTATAGCAGCTCCCTTGGGTTTCCCATGTTTGGTGACAGTCTTCGAGATGATGACGAAGCTTTAGTGTTAATTCCTGACAGTGACGAAGGTAAAGGGTGGAAATTGTCGATATAATCATCATGACGACGAAACCATGCAATCATTGGCGATGACGACGAACAATGATGATGACGAAGATAAAATCATTGACATCTATGATAATAAGATAAGGATAGGGAACTGCATGCAGAGCATGAACGTTTTTCACCCGCAAGAGGCAGACGGAAATTAAGTGATCGTTGCATGCTTTTTCTTCTGAGATGTTATGTTTGAAATGCAGAAAAAGATCAGGCACATTGGGAACGGTTTCGATTGAAATACCGGACCGAATTCGCCAATTTTTTAAAATATTGTTGATAGCTCTTGCTTCCGTTTTCCGGCTGAGTGCAGTTAGGGACCTTAAGAAGTTAGGACGGCAACGCTGACGTTGAATGAAAAATGAATTGATGTTCTTAGTTAGATTTAGCGAATGGCTGGATGTGTTTACCGACGGGGTTTTCTTTCTCAGACCTCTTAAACTTTGGTGATTTCACGTCGTTGATTTTCAGAGGTACTAAAGGTCTCTTTTGAC